GCACCTTAGTCCTCAAACTGACATCTTTGCTCTTCAACACCTGAAAAAAATCTTGTGCAGCAGATTTGCCTAATGCAATAGGTCGTTTGATTTCTTGACTGCTGCTTCCGTGAGTGTTGATAGTTGATCCAAGAAGAATGAAGTCCTTGACAACCTCAGTCTTTTCTCTGTTGACAAGAATGTTGTTTATTGGTGTTGTTGTTAGGTATTGTGAAGTCAATTTTGACTCATAGAGACCCCAAGTGACAATTCAATGGCCCCATAGAGTATCCTAGACAGTAATCTTTATGGGGAAGTCCTGGTGTGGCACTGTAGGCTAAGTACTAGACCGCAATGTTGGTTTGAACTGCAAGGTCGGTGGTTCAAGCTCATCAGCCATTCCTTGGAAATTTTGTGCAGGGTCACTATGGGTTGGAACCAACTTGACGGCACTTAACAATAAAAACAGCAACAACAATCTTTATGGGAGCAGATCACTAGGTCTTTCTCCTGCAAAGCCTATCTTTCAGTTAGTGGCCAAGCGCTTAACTGTTGTACCACCAGGGCTCCTGCCTTTTGATTCTAGACCCTGAGTTTGTAGGATTGGTGCCGTCTTCAAGATCAAATGGAGGAAGTTACCACATGATCCACTAGCTCCACTCCTAGGTATTTACCCAAGAGAATTAAAAACGTATGACCCCAAAAAACTTGTACAAAAATTTTCAAAGCCACATTCATTTTTCATAACAGTCCAGATAATGGAAACAACTCAAATGCTCATCAACTGATGATGAATTGGTTAAATGAAATGTGGCACCAACACAATTGGTTCCGACTCATAGCGACCCTGCATAGGGGTTCCGAGGAGCGGCTGCTGAGTTTGAACTGCAGACTTTGTGGTTCAAACTGACTTCGCAGTCCAGTCCTGATCCCATAGCCACAGTTGGTCTCCATGCTGACATATACTAACCATAAAAACATTATGCAAAGTGATAAAAGCCAGATGTAAAAGGCCTCATCTGTATATGGAATGATATCAACAGACACAGAGAAAGAAAGCAGATTCATAGTAGCCATGAACAGGTAAGGAGGGAGAAGCAAGGGGAGAAAGAATGAAATGGCAGGACCTCACTTCCTAGATTGTAACCAAGAGCATGTCCTTGCTTACCTGTTCCCTTGTCACCTTTTTCTTCCCTTATTTGCTATCTCCTGAATAAATCACTTTACTAATTACCTCTGCCTCAGGTTCTGATTCTGAGGAGCCTGACTTAATGTGTTCTTAAATGGAAGATGTACTAAGTGTTTAAGGTAAGTCCTAGCCCCTGACTAATCTTTGTCTTCTAAACATGCAGGGCCTTGGTGGAGAGGAGAAATCCTCTAGTTATTGGCATGTTCCTACTGACCTGAAGACATTATTCTACACGTAATCCGGTGTGGAATCAGTGAGGTACCATTATTCTTGGCTATCTATACCTATTGGAGTCCTGCACTGTAGGATAAGCACTGGACCGCAAGGCCGGTTTGAACCACAAGGTTGGTGGTTCAGACTCAACAGCCGCTCCCCGTAAACCCAGTACAGGGTTGCTATGAGTCGGAACCGACTCGAAGGCAATTAACAATAACAACAACAACAACATTTCATACTTTGTTAATTCTCAAAAGTCAGAGTGGAAGAAGAGCTCTGAGCTATATGGTGGGTCCAGGATTGGCTTGAAAAGGTACTTCTGAAGTATAGTCTTAGACCTTCTAAATGCAAAAAGAGGCCACCACTCTAATGTTTAAGGAGCTCTGGTAGCATAGTGGTTATGAGTCAGGCTTCTAACCTCAGGTCAGCAGTTCAAAACTACCAACAATTCTGTTGGAGAAAGATGACGCTTTCTGCTCCTGTAAAGATTTACAGCCTTGGAAACCCTGTACAGGGTCGCTATGAGTCAGAACCGACTCCACAGCACATAACAACAACAACAACAACTCTAATATTTAAGGAGCCCTGGTAGTGTAGTGGGTTAGGCATTGGCTGGGCTGTTAACCTCAAGGCCAGCAGTCAGAATCCACCAGCCGGTTCCTCTGGAGAAAGATGACGCTTTCTGCTTCTATAAAGATTTACAGCTTCATAAACCCTATACAGGATCGCTATGAGTTGGAATCAACTATACAACACACAACTATCCCCATCACAACTAAACTACTTGTTTAGTTCTGGATGTAGTTTCATATTCTTCCAGACTCTTCTTTATGCCTTCTAAACCACAGTCAATGTCTCACCCTCAAAATCGCAGAGCACCGGCAGCACCACCCTCATTCTGAGAGGATTCAGTCATAAAGTTACAGGGAGATAAGAAGCAGAGCTAGGATTCAAACCTATGTTTGTCTGATTCTACAATGTCTGATATACATATCCATCTCACATCAGTCTCACCGAACCTCTTCTGGTGTCTCTCTGTGTCTGTCTTCTTAGCTCGGAAGAAATGGCAAGTTCCTCTGGCTCCTGGCTCTCTGGAGGCCTCATCACACTGCTCTTCCTTCAACTGCCGGTGCAGGGGTCAGGTAGGAGTTTCTGAACCTCTTTCTTGGGACACCTGATAATGGGGTTACAAGAATTAGGAGATCTGGCCTGAGGACTTTTGTTCTTCCTCCAGTTCTTGCCAATGCCCTCCTGAATTCTGTCCTTTCCCCAAGGCATTCCCTTCCTCATCCCCTTCCTCAACCCTTTCCGTATCCCCTCCCAAGCTGGGCCTCTCCCATCCCTTCCAGATGATCTTGTCTCTTTTTTCTTCCACTCTGTACAGGCGACGCCAGCAAGTTCCACGTCGCCCCACTAGGGGGCACAGCCGAGCTACTCTGCCCACTCTCGCTCTGGCCCGCCATAGTGCCCACCGAGGTGAAGTGGCTGCGGTCCCCACACCCCCAGCTGTCCCAGGCTGTTCACGTGTTCCGGAATGGGAAAGACTGGGATGAAGGTGTGATGCCGGAATATAAAGGGAGGACTGCGCTGGTGAGAGACGCCCGAGAGGGAAATGTCATTCTGAAGATCCGCGACATCCGCCTTGAGGACAGAGGGCAGTACCGTTGTCAGGTCCAGATCGGAAATCTGAGTCGAGAGGGCAACGTGACCCTGCAAGTTGCAGGTTAGAATGGGTTTGAGGAGCCTGAGGTTATTTGTGCAGTTGGATGAGCTTGTTGTTGTAGTTGTTGTTAAGTGCCGTCGAGTCGGTTCAATGTCTAGCATTTTCTTTCATCTACAATGCATAATTTCAACTTGCTCGATGCCTCAGCTGTGATCCTGGTCCAGGTGTTTCTGATGTGGAAGGAATTTAGACTATGGAGCAAAATGCTGGTTAAATACAGTTAAATATATTAGTGGTCTTTACAGCTTGGTGACTCAACCATTAGCTCTTCCATCTCTAGTTCATCTTTTCTTTGCTCAATCATCTGGTAATGTTCTCCAGGACCAGAATCCCAAACTGCAACAAAGGTTTATTTATATTGGGTCCTGTGTACTTAAAGGTCTATGAAGATAAAAGTAGAGTTTCTCAAACTACCTGTAATATATATATTTTAAACTTCAGGCACCCCAAACACCTATGCCTTTGCATTTGCCCGGAATGATACCAGCTCCACATGGACACACACCGACTCTCTTTTTGGTTATAATTTAGACTCACACCTCAAAAAGAGGGATGAATCAATTACTTTAAAATACACAGTGGTTCATAGACAAACTCTTTCCAAGCATGGAGGTTTTTGAAGGAGACAGTTTTTAAAAGGGGACTAAGGCGAGCCCTATAGCATAGTGGTTACGAATTGGGCTGCGATCCGCAAGGTCAGCAGTTCGAAACTACCAGCTGTTCCGCAGGAGAAAGATGAGGCTTTCTGCTCCCACAAAGATTTACAGCCTTGGAAACCCTGCACAGGGTCACTATGAGTAGGAACCGATTCCATGGCACATAACAACAACAACAACAACAACAAGGTGAGTCCTATGGAGCTCTGGTAGTGTAGAGGTTACAAATTGGGCTGCTAATCTCACAGCCAGCAGTTTGAAACTACTAGCTGTTTCACAGGAGAAAGATGACGCTTTCTGCTCCCGTAAAAATTTACAGGCTCAGAAACCCTGTACAGGGTCGCTATGAGTGGGAAGCGATTCCACAGCATATAACAACAGCAAGGCGAGTCCTGGTGTGGCACTGTGGGTAAGCATTTGATTGCTGACCACAAGGTTCAAACCACCAGCTACTCCTTGAAAACCCTATACAAGGTTGCTACGAGTCAGAAATGACTCCGCAGCACTTAACAACAAGGTGCCTAAAGGAATCTGAAACATGGGATTTAGTGTGGTGGATTTTGAAGCGTGTTAGCATGTTAAAGTTACATGAACAGTCATCTCTGTTCACCAGAGGAAGCTTGACAAGGCCCTGCCCATCCATTTCTGGGCTGGTTCCGTCAGGCAGTCTCTCCTCTTCAGTTTTAGGCTCTGACCCTTACATCCATGTGAAGGACTACAATGCTGGATGGATCCAACTGCTGTGCAGGTCTGTGGGATGGTTCCCAAAACCTGAGGCCGAGTGGAGAGACCCTCAAGGCAGGGTGCTTCCATCTCTGTCCGAGGCCCATACCCTGGAAGAAGCTGGACTCTTCCGAACAACGGTGTCCAGTAGAATCAGGGACAGCACTCTGGGGAATGTGTCCTGCACCATCTACAATATGGTCCTTGGTCAAGCGAAGACTGCAACCATGGCCATTGCAGGTAAAAGCTGAGGCATAACTCAGGTTTGAAGCACCTGGTGGTTTCAGAGAAAACACCTATCCTAGTAGAGACTTTCTAAAATAGATAGCGTTTAGGATTTTTTTAGATGCTGAAAATAACACATTAACTTGGAAAACTTGAAAACATACAGGAAATGTTAAAGAAAGCAAAAAATGGCCTATAATTAATTTCTTAAATGAGAGAGAACTACTGCTAACATCGTGAGGCATTTCCTTTAAGACTTTCCTATATGCATGTTATTTCTGAGTGCATTCTTTTTCTTTTTTAATCCTTTATTGTGAGTTTTGTGATAGTTTACATGGGAGAACGTTAGCATCATATATCGTTTCCTTGCCATGGTTACAATCACATCTACGTATTCTTGTGCCTGGTTTCCCCCCACTTACAATGTCTTAAATACTTTTTGTCATCATCCTTAAGTCATTCTGCACATGATTTTTAAGGGCTACATAGCTTCCCATTGATGGCTACAGCATATTTCATTTCTGGGCATACATATTGGATGCTCTCCAGTTCTCTCTTTCTCCCCTCACGCCCCACCCCCCGCCCCCCACATTATAAAATAATGGTGCAGTGAACATATTTAACACATTCCTTGGGAAATGAGTCTGACAATTTTCTTAGAATTTCTTGGAATGAGTGAATCAAAGGGTATGACTCTTTTAGAGATCCTTGAAACATAGAGCCTTATGGCGGAAAAGCGTGGTTTCAGAGCCAAGAAAGTTGGGCTGTAGTCTGGAAGTCAGAGGGTGGAGGTCATGGACCTCTACTAATCCGATTCTTCTATCTCTCTGTCCCCCTCTCTCTTCTCTTGCACTGCCACGACCCTTCACTTGGTGCTAGGTGTTTTACATGCCTGCTTTATTTAAATCCCCCAACAACCCAATGAGGTAGGTATGACCATCATCCTCATTTTCCAGATAAGGCTTGGTCACACAGTATTTGAGCTGGAACTCATCCTCAGTTTGTGCTCTTAACCACTTGTCAAAGTGCCGCTTCTGTTCTTTAATCTTTTGCTTTTTTTCTCCTACCTACTGCTTCTTCCTTTCTCTGGTCTATCCTGCCTAGGCCTCCTGCTCTGTAGTGTCCTTGTTGGTAGTGTTCAGGGCAAAGAGGTTGCTGGCAGCTATTCCAGGGCAAAGATGAAGTCAGCTGTGCTCAAGAAAAGGTGATTTCTGAGGTGAGCATCACTGTTCTGATGTTTTTGGATTATTTTTCTAGTGAATTACAGAGCAGGACAAGGTTGTGGTTTAGAAGCTGAGTTTGAGTTACTGTCTTCAGGCAAGGTCATTAAACTATTCCTGAGAGATGACTGTCTCACTTATTTTTGAAGTCATCTCTGATCCTCCAGGGTTTGAGTCACTAAGAAAAGAGAAGACCCTCACCAGTCTTGGCCAGAGGTCCCTCCCTAGAGGTGATGAAGACAGCTGGGAGGTCCCTGAACCATCTTTCATCTTAGGTGGGACCCTGAGTAGGAGAGAAACTCTCAGACATTTCCCTAAGGGTGGTCACTGATGGTTTCTGTTTCAGGCCTGTCTTCAGGGAGCATCTCTTCCTCCACAGTGGCTCTTGCTGTGGTTCTGCCTATCCTGGGCCTTCTCATCATGGCAGGCCTTTGCCTCATCTGGAAGCAAAGAAGATCAAAAGGTACTAAGTGGTAAGGGAGCCCAGGCTGACAGGTGGTGGGACTGTGGCCTCTCTGGGAAAAGCCAGGAGGGAAATAGGGGTAGGCAAGACACTATGCTATAGAATCCATTATTCTCCTTAGTGTGGAGATCCTGCAAGTTGGCGGGGAGAAAACTGGTAGAACCATGCCCTGGTCATCCACAATGAAGAGGAGATTTAAGAAACTGAGCAGAGCCGTGATTTCTCATCCTTTGAGAAATGAGAAACAATATTTCCTATATGATAAGGAGTCCTGGTGTGGCGCTGTGGGTTAATGCACTGGACTGCAAGGTTGGCTTGAATCACAAGGTTGGTGGTTCAAGCTCACCAGCCGCTTCTTGTAAACTCTATACAGGGTTGTTATGAGTCGGAATCAACTCGATAGCACTTAAACTAACAAACAATAATTACTGGACTGCAAACCACAAGGTCCACAGTTTGAGCCTTCCAGCCGCTCTGCAGGAGAAAGATGAAACTTTCTGCTCCCACAAAGATTTAAAGTTATGTGTCAGAACCAACTTGACAGAATTTAACAACAACTGCAACATCATGCCATTCAAAGAGGCCTGGTGGTGCAATGGGTTAAACATTGGGCTGCTAACTGCTTGGTGTGTTCCCGGGAAGATTTACAATCTCAGAAATCCTAAGCACCGAACCTGTTCTGTACTATTGCACTTTACTTGATGGCAGCAGGTTTTGGTCTTTTGGTTTTTAAAGATATTAGACTGTCACAGGATCTCAGGATTAGAAAAAAAAGGAGCTCTGGTAGTATAGTGGTTACAAATCGGGCTGCGAACCTCAAGGTCGGCAGTTCGAAACTACCAGCCGTTCCATGGGAGAAAGATGAGGCTTTCTGCTCCTGTAAACATTTACGGCCGTGGAAACCCTGTACAGGGTCGCTATGAGTCGGAACCGACTCCACGGCACATAACAACAGGATTAGAAAGGATTTTGAAATTCACACATTCCTCTCTCATCTGACATTTTGAAGACCCTCTCCTTTCAAAAGAGTTCCAAGTAGCACAAATAGTAAGTGCTTAGCTACTGAGAGATTGGTGAGTTGATTCAAATCCACCCACAGGCATCTTGGGAGAACGCGATTTGCTTCTGAAATGTCTCAGCCATGCCAACCTTAAGGAGTGTAATTCTACTCAGAAAGACATGGGTCACCAGGACTCAGATGGATGCTATAGCAACTGGTTACTGGTAATCCTTTCAAATGGTCACAGCCCTGCAGAGTGACAAGGAGCAAAGACCTACTCATGCGGCATGGGACATTTCTCTGGACGACTTTGCCTGTTAGAAGAAATCCTTCCTTAAACTGAGCATAAACTCTCTTTCTCTCTTTCTTTTAGAGAAGCTTCTTTATGAACAGGTGATGGAGGTAGGTAAGTGTCCTGGGCTGGGCAGGAATGGTTCTCTGTTTTATTCATTTCTGTACTCCAGTGCCCTCTAATTGAAATTTTGTACCTGACAATTTTAAGCTCTGCTTGTTTTTGGTGGTGGAGACGGAGATTTAAACCTGTTGTTTCTGGTTTTGTTGACACTCACTTGTCTTCTAGTATACGTAATGTTTCTTTTCTTTTTTTGAGCATGGGAGTCATTTGAGTTTAATGTGAGGGAAGCTTTAGTTTATTCACAAATAATTGATCATTGTCTGCTGAATGCCCGGGACCCTATTAAGTGCTGGGGAGACAATGGCAAGTCAGAGTGGACAATCTTTGCTCACCTGGAGCTCTCAGTCTCCTCAGGGAGGTATTAGAAAATTAAATAACTCCACAAATAAATGTAAAACTACAAATGTGATAAAATCCACAAAGCAAGTTAACAGTGCTATGGAGACTAGGGTCAGGAAGAACCAACCAGGTTTGAGGGATCAGGAAGACTCCACACAGGAAGTGGGTTTGATCTGAAGGACAGGTAGGCATAAATGGTGTGAAGAGAGGACAGAACACGAGCCACAGCAGAAAGAAAAACTTGAATAAAGAAATGTGATAGGGAGAGAGCAATGCTCGTCTGAGGAGCTGAAAAAGTGCAGAAACGAGGGGAAAGGTGAGGCAGAGGCTAGACCACGTGGGTCTGGTCCACTTGTGGTACAGAGGATTAACACCCTCAGCAACTAACTGAAAGGTTGGCTGCTCAAGTCCACCCAGGGGCTCTTTGGAGGAAAGGTCTGGCAAATCTATTTTTTTAAAAAAGCAGCCATTGGAAACCCTGTAAATCACTGTTCTATTCTGACACACATGGAGTCATCATGAGTCAGGACTGTCCTATCACCAACTGGTGGGAAACCATGTGAGGCGTTGTCAATCTTGCAAAGGAGTTTAACCTTTCCTCCAACAGCAGCGTGAAAGCCTGGAGTGAGGGTATCAAGATCCAGAGGTGTTCTCTGAGAAACTCTCTCTGGCTTTAGCGTTGAGAGGTGTCCAGAAGAAGCAAGACAGGATGTAGGGGACAATCTGGGATGTGTTTCTGTTATCCAGATGTGAGATGACAGATCTCTCTGGATCAGGGAGATGGAGGTGGAGTACCCAGAGGTGAATGGGTTCAAGAGCAGGTAAAATCAGTAGCAATGAGGCACTGACTCTCAAGGTATCAGCACAAGCTCTCATTTTCTTTCCTTTCCTTCCTCTAGAAAATCTTCTCTCCAATCATGCTAAAGAAAAAGGTAATTATCTGTACACAGGAAGGGGGAGGGAACAAATGACATATTTTTTCTCCTACATCAATGCTGACAATCTATTAGTATACATGCATTTTATATATATATATATATGTTAAATGAGGTTGAATCAGTTTTTTTAATCATAAGTGACCCTGTGAGGGGTTTCTGAGGTGGGGCTTGTGGGTTTGAACTTCCAACCTTGTGGTTAGCAGTCCAGTACTTATCCTATAGTACCACACAACTTTGTGGCCCTATAGGATAACCACTAGACTGCAAAACACAGTGTTGACAGTTCAAACTCACCAACTGCTTTTTGGAAATCCTATACAGGGTCACTATAAGTAGGAACAGACTCGACGGCATTTAATAAAACAACAACATATATATGTAAAGTCTGTGGAAAAATGGAATGAAAAGATAATGGAATTTTCCCATGGGACTCTTTGAAGCCCCCCCTTGCAAAAACACTGGACTAGAAACCACAAGGCCAGCCAATTACTAGCTGGATGATCTTGTGCAAATGTCCATGTTTCTCTGGGAACTAGACAATGTTGTTGTTGATAAGTGCCGTCGAGTCGGTTCCGACCCATAGCGACCCTGTACAGAGTTTCCGAGGGTGTAAATCTTTACGGGAGTAGAAAGCCTCATCTTTCTCCCGCGGTGCGGCTGGTAGTTTCGAACCGCTGACCTTAAGGTTCACAGCCCGATTCATAACCACTACGCTACCAGAGCTCTGTAAAATGGAATGCGAATTATGTGAGAGGATTCAGTGCCTAACTCAATACCAGAATAATACACAGTGGGGCTGTTTGTAGTGTCGAAGTCCTGGTGTGGTGCTGTAGGGTCAGCACTAAAACGGCAAGGTCGGTCTGAACCGCAAGGCTGGCAGTTTAAGATCATCATAGCTTCTTGGAAACCCTATGCCAGGTTGCTATGAGTGAGAACAGATTTGATGGCACTTAAGGACCTCAGGAGACTTTCTGTGGAGAATAATAATCTCCCATTAAGTCAGTGCTAGGTAGCGTAGTGGTTACGAATCGGGCTGCGAACCTTAAGGTCAGCGGTTCGAAACTACCAGTCGCTCTGCAGGAGAAAGATGAGGCTTTCTACTCCTGTAAAGATTTACACCCTCGGAAACCCTGTACAGGGTCGCTATGGGTCGGAACCGACTCGACGGCACTTAACAACAACAACAACAAGGTGTTTAGCTAGTTTTATATCTCAAGGTCAGCAGTTCAAACCCACCAGCAGCTCATCAGAAACCCTATACATACAGGGTCTCGATGAGTCAGAAGCAACTCAACGTCACTTAACAACACCATACCTCAAATATGAAGCCTCCCCTTTCACTTCTGGTTTGAAAGCTATTATTAAAATATATGCTTCTGCCAGGTGTACCAGAGTAAACACATTTTCTTAGAGCAAAACTTTTCCTTATAAATATTTTGGGAAAAATGCTGTTGTTTAACATTGTTTTTCTATGAAAGCAAACAATAGTATGTTTTGGAACAGAATTCGAAATCTTCATGACTTTTAAGATTAACAAATTTTACAGGAAGACTGTATTTACCTTGGGTGGCTGTACCACCCCACAAACTGTTCATTCTTACTGTTACGGGTTCTTGAAAGAAGAGGTTTGAAAAACTGAGAATACTATATGTAAATACCTTGTACAATTGTCTGCAGGAGCAAACAATTGATACATGGTAACCATTATTTTTAACAATAATCATTGTTGTGATTGGATAACGACAGATTATAAACTAACTGTAGAAGCCCTGCTGGTGCAGTGATTAAGTGCTTGGCTGCTAACTGGCAAGTCTGCAGTTCAAATCCACCAGCTGCCCCATGGAAGAAAAGCCATAGTAGTTTGTTTCCTGAAAGATTGTTGTTGTCATTGTGAAGTGCCGTTGAGTCGGTTCCAATCCATAGAGACCCTGTATAGGGTTTCTGAGAAGCAGCTGGTGAGCTTGAATCGCCCACCTTGCCGTTCAAACGGCTTTGGCATTCTGGCGCATTAATCCACAGCGCCACTAGGAAATCCTCTGGGGCAGTTCTACTGTGTCACATAGGGTTGTTATGAGTCAAAAACAACTTGATGGCATACAATAACTACACAAACTAAACAACAATGTAAACTAACAGTAGATTGTAAGGACAGCAAAGCACAGGTTCCTGTTCATACAATTATAAGCATTTAGAAACACACCCACACAGAGAAACAGAAATGAAACCAGACAGATAAAAAAGAAGGGAAGAGGAAGGAGGAATCAAAGTCCTGGGCAGCCAGGCTCATCAGTAAATGGTGCTAACACCATGGGAGATCTGACTTGAGTGATGTGGTTGGATAAAGACTGATGGTGGGTCAGCTTCCTTTCCATCTCATTTAGATGAAATGATGAGCTTTCTGTAGGGCAAGTGATAAAGAGGCAAGATCTCTTCTCTCACACCTCTTTCTTTGTTTATTTCAGGAAGACTTCACAGTGCACTCAGTAAGTCCTGCTCCTCCTCCATGGCACAGACCTCCTTTTGCTGGCCCTTTGCCTCTGGATAAATGTTTCAATTTCACTTCCTGGAGCAGAAGGGAGGGATCAAGGGTTTCTCAAGCCATGAAAATGGGGATTTCTTGGCTCTTAAAAGTCTCTTTTCTCAAGTATCCCCATTTCCTCTTTCTTGCACAACTGCCACTTAGTCCTAAACAGGAAATTTCTTATCAAGAAGAGATGAAACTCCCATGGGTGAGGCCATATGGAAGTCCCTTTTCTTACCCAGACACAACAGTCCCTTAGGTGGGGTGGATGGAGCCTCAATAAACTAAGTAGCTAGGTGTAGACATATGACACGTCACTTTTATTATTTTACATTGACATAATAAAATTTAATAGGATAGTAGTAATGGAATCCCTGGGTGGGGAAACAGTTAGGTGCTCAACTACTAGCTGAGAGGTTGGTGGTTTGAACCCACCCAGAGGTGCTCAGAAGACAGGCCTGCTGATCTGCTTCTGAAAGCATGCAGCCTATGGAGCAATTCTCCTCTACACACATGAGGTCAACATGTGTCGGAATCGACTTGATGGCAACTAGCAATAACATGGATGTACAACGTGGTCCATGTAATGAATGCCACAGAATTGTACTGATGATAATGGTTAATGTATTTTTTCTAAGTTTTCTATACACACACAAAAAAATCTAATAGGAATTCTGTGATAACTTCAAACAAACTTATATTTTTTTTATTCACTCCCCACATCTCTGTACATCCATGTGATTCTTACCTACATGTGTGGGGTTTATCATTTACTCAGTCTGCAGTCAAAGTTTGGCTCACAGAGGAGTGTGCTGAGGCTTTGCAGTATCTGGGGGGACCCATGGCACACTAGAGGTCAGTACGTTGTTTGGGACATTCTAGGACATTGCTAGTGAGAGAGTCTGTGATGAGACTGTAGATGAGATGGGACTGTGGCATTATGGGAATGTAGAAACCCACATTCTGATTTTGTCAAACTGTTTTTATTCTTTAGAGCAACACCGGAGTGAACTGAGTAAGTTTCTGTGTTCTTGTAACTTCCACCCCAGCTGAGCTCCTGTTGACTCTGTATTTCCAGTGTAAGTTCACCCCCTTATTTCTTCTTTTACAGAGTTAAAAAGAGCGGCAGCAAACTCAGGTGAGATATCTTTTACCTCACGCTTGCCTCTCACCCTTTGGAGTTTTCTGATGTCTCTATTGCTTTAGCAAATCTCCTTTTATGTCTTTCAGGCTGGAGAAGAGCCCGTCTTCACTTCTGTAAGTTACAAGAACAGAACTGATAATGCATTTCAGAGTCTATCCTCTTTACCACTCTGGAACCTTAGTGATATGGCTTTGGAATGCAGTATGCTTTTAAAATTTTTTTACCAAATCTGTGGCAATGGTTTGGTTTTGGTTTTTAATAGCCATTTCCCTCTCTCATTTAAGTGGGAGTCACATTTAAATTCAGAAAGGCTCCCCTCTTTGAAAGTACTGATAAATACTTGGTCTGATTTTCTCAGTTTTTTTTAGAATTTGAGTTTTTAAAGAGTTTTCTTAAGCTTGTTGGTTATCTGTATTTCTCCATTATGAATTGTCTGCTGGAGTCCTGACTTTTTTTAATGTCTGAACACACTTTCCATATAAAGTATACTAACTGTCATATTTACAACAAATAATTTCCCTAGTTTTCTATTTGTATTTGAATTTCCTTTTGGTATTTTTCTGATGCATGAAGTTCCTACTTTCTGTAGTCAAAGTTATTAATCATTTTCAGGGTGGTCTCTTCTGTGTTTAGGCAAGTTTTCCTATCCCACTCTGTTTCTGCTTCTTTTTATACATCTGCCACATTTTTCTTTCTCTTTAGACCTGGTTTCTTGCAGGTAGGAGCAGGGAGGTTGGGATTCTCAAAGAAGAAGGAAATGGGTTAGGAAATACTTCACCAATATAGACAACATAAAGATTGTTTTATTCTAAAAGATTTATACCTTTGTCTTCCAATTTACTCATAAATAGTTTGTGATTTTTTTTTTTTCTTTTTCTTTTTTTGCTGCTGTTTGAATGAGATCTGCTATTTTTACTGTTTGGGGTCCTTTTTAGTTGTTCAGGCTGTTCATATCTTTCCTGTTCACACTATCTTCCTGCAGACTGGGTAAAAGAATTGATTAGTCAGCCCCTTGAGAGAATACTAGGTCATTTTGGTTGGTATTTTCCATATCCACAGTCTGGTTTATGCCTACTACCTCCACCAAACAAGGATTTCTTTGGTTTAACCAAGATGAGGCTTTCTGCTTCTGCAAAGATTTATAGCCTTGGAAATCCTATACAGGACTGCTATGAGTCAGAACTGACTCAATGACACTTAACAATAACAACTCTCCAAGAAGAGACTGTTTCACAGATTTCAGGGGGAAACCTAACTGTAAGCCCATAATCTACAATTTTTTTATTTTTAAAAAACTTTCTATTGTAATTGAGTGGTTTCCAGACAAAGATCATCCTACCCGTTGTTTCATCTCAATGATTTCATTGCCCTCCATGCAAAACAGTTATCCCACTTCCTCCCTATGGTTCCTATTTGCATTCCAACCACCTTCCCATCCCTGCTCAACTTTGTCCTTAGGGAAATGTTGCCCTTTTGATTTGGAATGATTGCCCATTTCATGGCTAACATACCTTATTAGTATCGTTGTCCCCCTTATATACTCATCTACTGCTCGACTGGAAACAGGGCCATGTGGGCGAGGTCTTTTCCAGATCTGATGTGTGGTCAAGGGCTACAGCTTCAGGTTCCTCCAGTCTCTTTCTGACCAGTAAGCACAGTCTTTTCTTAAAGATAATTTTTTGAATTTTGTTCCACGTTTCCTCCCACTCTACCTGGCACCTTCTAATGCGATCCCTTTTAAAGCAGTTGGTATTGGTAGCCAGGCACCATCTAGTTCTTCTGGTTTTGGAGTCCTGGAGACTGATGTTCACATGTTCCAAAAGTCCATTGTACTGATTGGTTCCAAACATCTTCAGTTCTCATCACACTTCTTTCTTCCGTACATGGAAAGACCAATAGCTGCACTTTAGATGGCGGCTCATGAACTTTTAAGATCCCAGGTGCTACTCCCCAAAGTAGTATAATCCATAATCTTAAGGAAGAATCCTTCTCTATATTAACATCTTAAAATTATGATGATAAGCAATAATTTTAGCTAGTAAAATGGGTATCACACACTCACTATATGAACCAGTCACTGCCTATTGCATTAGCTTACCAAATCCATGCAACAGCTCCACCATGTAGGTAGATGAGGAAGCTAAGGTTTAGAGAAGAAAAGCTTGATCAAAGTCACATAACTAGTGAGCAGAACTGGGCTTAATCCCGAGTCTAATATCCTAAGCCTGTTTTATTATCACTGTTATGTTCCTTTGAAAAATTGAAGGCAAAGGCCACATTTCAGATAAAAGCACCTTCACAGTACTCATACATCTGTGAATGGGACCCAATGACTGGTTACAGATACAGAGATTATTTTCCCTCCAAAGTTACCCAAAGATCACTTAAGACCTGACCTTTTCAAAACTCTCCCCTCTGTAACTCCCTCTCTGCAGTGGCTGTGACCCTGGATCCTGACACAGCGCATCCAAAACTCATCCTGTCTGAGGACCTGAGATGTGTGAGGCTCGGAGACAGAAGGCAACCTGTGCCGGACAACCCACAGAGATTTGATTTTGTCGTCAGCGTCCTGGGCTCCGAGTCCTTCACGACCGGCTGTCATTACTGGGAGGTGTATGTGGGCGATAAAACCAAGTGGATCCTTGGGGTGTGTAGTGAGTCAGTGAGCAGGAAGGGGAAGGTCACTGCCTCGCCCTCCAACGGACACTGGCTTGTGCGGCAGAGTCATGGGAATCAGTATGAAGCTCTCACATCCCCGCAGACCTCTTTCCGCCTGAAAGAGGCACCACAGTGCGTGGGGATTTTCCTGGACTACGAAGCAGGAGTGCTCTCCTTCTTCAACGTGACTGACAAATCTCACATGTTTACTTTCACCCACAGTTTCTCTGGCCCTCTTCGCCCTTTCTTTGAACCTTGCCTTCATGACGAAGGGAAAAACATAGCACCTCTCGTCATATGTTCAGAACTCCAGGAAGCTGAGCAACCAAAAGGAAAAAGCCATGCTAATGGAGACGTGTCCCTAAAGGTGGACTCTTCCTTACTCTCCCCCCAGGCACCAGAGCATTCAACACTCAGAGATATGATGCTGTCCTGGCCCTCTGACCTGCGTCCCGCTCTTCAGGGGTTCAGGGCACCTTCCTTTTAGGGATGCTCCTGGGAACGTCCAGCCCAGCACCCTGTATTGCCGTCTTCTGGCCAAACTTATGATTCTAGACTGTCTCAACAGTTTACCCCCAATCCAGACCCTTTATTGTGATTTTTATTTGTATTTCTCTCAGGGCTCACTTCTGAGGCCTTCCTTCCTTCTGGAGACAGCAAGGAGAGTTCCTGACAATCCAATGTATATGGTTTAGGTTTAGGTGGAGATGTTGAGTGTGTAACACGGAGATACAGGCTACATTCACGGAAATGGGTTCTCTATTCCAAGGGAATTATTAGAACGCTCTACCTCATTCTGTTCTTGGGGATATTTGAAAACATGAAGTTTTTAAAAAATGTAAACATGTTTTGGATCACATACCCTTTTTTCCTTTTTTAAGGAATTTTGTTGTTGCTAAGTGCTGGCGAATCGGTTCCAACTCATAGTGACCCTATATAGGGTTTCCAAGGAGCAGCTGGTGGGTTTGAATGCCGACTTTGTGGTTAGCTGTCCAGTGCTTATCCTACAGCACCACACCAGGAGGGGAAAAGGAGCCCTGATAGTGTAGTATATTATGAACTGGGCTGCTAACCAAAAAGTTAGTAGCTAGAATCTGCCCATCACTCTGAGGAAGAAAGACGAGGCTTTCTGCTTCCTCAATGAAAGATTTACAGCCTCAGAAACTCTGTGCAGGATGTTTTGAGTTCGGACCAACATGGTGGTACACAAACAGCACTACCATGGAGGGGGATGCATGTCATCCTTTTGCATTTTCTTGGTGCTGTTTGCAACATAGTTTGGTGATATCCAAAGCTAATACAAAAAATAAAAACCAGCTGTTTTCAAGTTGATTCCAACTCACGGCAGCCACATGTGTGTCCGAGTAGAACTACGCTTCATAGGGTTTTCAATAACTGATTTCTTGGGAAGTAGATTGTTGAAGTTCCTCTGGGTGGACTTGAACCTTTAAGCTAACCATCTAAGTGTGTTATCCCTTTGCACCACCCACAACTAATGTACATATGTTCAAAGCTAATTTACCCTTAATCCTTAAAAGCCTCAGCAACACAACCAGGGTGCTGGAATGTACAACCTCAAAACAAACAGTTCAGTTATGTATGGCCTTGAAAAGACAATGACAGATGAGTCACTCTGGTATGCTGGCCTTTTCAAACAAAGGCTTTAGGCCTCCTGAGATTCAGTGAGGCCCAGCTAGAAAAAGTGAGATTTAGTTGCCAAAGTAGGAGCTGTTTTCACAAGTTTTGATTTGTGTTGCAAACAGCCTCTTAGGTCAGGTAGCATTGATTTCAAATGGGAAGTGGTAGACCAGGTGTGAGGATAAAATAATGAGCCAGAATTTTTGGTGTGGCTTTCAGAAAGACGTCTAGTTACTTTAAAGTCACACCACATATGTGGCCTAGCTTGCTTGTGGACATTACTGGCTATTTCTTAGTTTGCAGATAGGAACATAGTTCTACACAAGGGAAATTGGATCTTTCTGTCAGAAGTGCTCTCTGTTAGTGCTCAAGTGGAATTTTTTGCTTGCTTTCATACAGTTCTTAAATAAAAGTTTGGTGTTTCATTGTTTGCCATGCTGTTATTTTCATTGTGAATGAGAAGTTGTGGGGAAAGACTTTGGGCTGCTATGAGAAAAACACATTATGGAATTGGTTGCCAAACAACCTTGAGTCCACCCAAATAAGCCTAACCACAGTTAATGAAACCAGTTTTATTCCTGAATCTGCCTTCTCAAGATTACATTCAATTCAGTTTATAAACTAATAATGTACATGTTGTTGTTGTTAAGTGCTCTAGACTCGGTTCCCACTCATGGTGATTCTGTACAACAGAATGAAGCACTGCCCTGCCCTGGACAACGATCCTCATCATCCCCACTATATTTGAGTCCATTGTTACAGCTAATAATGTACACAGCATATTTATATTTCACTCATCTATATTCAGGTTTTGGAGTTGTGGTGTGGCGCTGTGGGTTAATGCCTAGACCAAAGATTGGCAGTTAAAGTTTACCAGCTGCTCCTTGGAAACCCTATACAGGGTTGCTATGAGTGAGAATCGACTTGACAACTTAACAACAACAACAATTCAGTTTGAGAGGGACCAGCTCCTGGAGAAGGACATCATGCTTAGTAAAGTGGAGGGTCAGTGAAAGAGAGGAGGACCCCCAACAAGATGGACTGACACAGTGGCCACAACAATGGGCTGAAACCTAACAACAATTGTGAGGCTTGCTTAGGACTCGGCAGTGTTTTGGAACCGACTCGATGGGACCTAACTACAACAACATATTCAGTTTTGAACATGCTCTAAGGGGAATGCTCTTTTCTCTGCACTGAAATGCCATGGAGATATGAGAAGCCTGTAGAATTCTAACCTACATGTTCAATTAGCCTTTAAAAAAATTAGAAATTGGAGAAAAAGATCCTAACCCCCAGAGATATTTTAGTGGTCTTATTATGTCAGGTTTTGTAGAAGAATTGATGCATTTGGGTTATGGTGTTGGAGAAGAATATTAAAAGTACCATGGACTGCTAGAAGAACAAATGAGTCTATGTTGGAAAAAGTACACCTGGAGTGCTCCTTAGAAGACAAGATGGCGAGACTTCTCTCTTACGCTTTGTACATATTATCAGGAAGGACCAGACCCTGGAGAAAGACATCATGCTAGGTAAAGTGTCAATGAAAAAAGAGGAAGACCCCAACAAGATGGATTGGCACAGTGGCGGCAGCAATGGGCTCAAGTATAACACCAATTGTAAGGACGGTGCAGGACAGGGCAGTGTTTTGTTCGGTTATGTGTAGGGTCACTATGAGTTGGAATTGACTTGACTGCACCTAGCAACAACAACAGCAACAACAACACTATGTCAGGTTTAACTAGAGACGAATGTGGTGATGGTAGTTGCCATTGAGTTGGCTATGACTCATAGCAACCCTGTATAGGGTTTTGAGGCTGTAAATCTTTGTTGTTAGGTACCGTTGAGTCAGTAATGACTTATAGAGACCTTATACACAACAGAACAAAACACTGCCCAGTCCTGTGCCAACCTCACAATCGCTGGCTATGTATGACCCCATTGTGACTCCCATTGTACCAATCTATCTTGTGGGGGTCTTCCTCTTTTTTGCTGGCCCTCCATTTTACCAAGCATGATGTCCTTCTCCAGGGACTGGTCCCTCCTGACAATATGTCCAAAGTATGAGTGATAAAGTTTGGCCATCCTGGCTTCTAAGAAGCATTCTGGCTGTACTTCTTCCAACATAGATTTGTTTGTTCTTTTGGCAGTCCATGGTTCTTTTAATATTCTCCTCCAACACCATAATTCAAATGCATCTTCTATGTTCTTCTTTATTCATTGTCCAACTTTCACATGCATATGAGGTTATTTAATATACCATGGCTTGGGTCAGGTGCACCTTAGTCATCAAACTGATATCTTTGCTCTTGAACACTTTAAAGAGGTCTTGTGCAGCATATTTGCCTAATGCAATATGTCTTTTAATTTCTTGACTGTTGCTTCCATGAGTGTTGATGGTTTATCCCAGCAAAATGAAGTCTTCAACAACTTCAATCTTTTCTCAATTTATATGGATGTTATTTATTGATCCAGTTGTGAGAATTTTTGTTTTCTTTACATTAAGGTGCAACCCATATGGAGGACTGTGATCCTTGATCTTCATCACTAAGTATTTTAAGTCCTCTTCCCTTTCAGCAAGCAGAGTTGTATCATCTGGTTGTTAACGCAGTGTATCGCAGGTTGTTAACGAGTCTTTCTCCAATTCTGATGCCACAGTCTCCTTCATATAATCCAGTTTCTCAGATTATTTGCTCAGCATACAGATTGAATAAGTATGGTGAAAGAATACAATCCTGGTGCACACCTTTCCTAATTTTAAACTGTTCAGTGTGCCCTTGTTCTGTTGAAACAACTGCCTTTTTGTCTATGTACAGGTTCCTCATGAGCACAATTAAGTTTTTCAGTATACTTTCTCCACAAAGTCATCTATAGTTTGTCATGATCCACACAATTGAAAGCATTTGCATAGTCAATAAAGCACAGGTCAACATTTTTCTGGTATTCTCTGCCTTCAGCCAAGATCCATCTTATGCCAGCAATGATATCCCTTATTCCAGGTCTGCGCCTGAATCTGGCCTGAACCTCTGGTAACTCCCTGTCAATGTAGTTCTGCAGCTGTTTTTGAATTATCTTGAGAAAAATTTTACTTGCATGCAATATTAATGTTATTGTCCTATGATTTTTGCATTCCACTGGGTCACCTCTTTTTGGAATGGGCACAGATACGCGTCTCTCCAGTCAGTTGGCCAGGTAACTGTCTTTCCAAATTTCTTGGCATAGATGAGTAAGTGCCTCCAGTGCTGTACCAACCTCACAATCATTGGCTATGTGTGAGCCCATTGCGACTCAGTTTGTTGAAAGATATCAATGTGTATTCCATCAGTTCCTGGAGCCTTGTGCTTCATCAATGCCTCCAGTGCACTTTGGACTTCTTTTCTCAGTATCATTGGCTCTTCATCATATGTTATCTCTTGAAATGGCTGAAAATCAACTATTTCTTTTTGGTACAGTGACTCTGTGTAGTCCTTCCATCTTCTTTTGATGCTTTTTGCATCATTCAATATTTTGCCTATTGTTGTTATCCTTCAATATTGTAAGACGAGGCTTGAATTTTTTCTTCAATTCTTTCAACTTGAGAAATGCTGAGCATGTTCTTCCCTTTTGGGTTTCTAACTCCAGCTATTTGCACTTTTCATTATATTATTTAACTTTGTCTTCTGAGCTGCCCTTTGAAATTTCCTGTTCAGGTGTTTTACCTCCTAACTTCTTCCATTTGCTTTAGCATCTGTACCCTGGAAAGCAAGTTTCAGAGTCTCTTCTGACATCCATCTTGGTCTTTTCTTTCTTTCCTGTCTTTTTAATGACCCTTCGGTTTCTTTCTGTGTGCTGTCTTGATGGCATCCCACAACACTTAGGATATTTGTTCATTAGTATCTAATACATCACATCTGTTCTTGAGATGGGATTCAGGTGGGATATGTTCAAGGTTAGTTTGGCTCTCCTGGACTTGTTTTAATTTTCTTCAGCTTCAGCCTGAATGTGTATCTGACCCATAGATGGTCTGTTCCACAATCCCCTCATCTTTTTTTGCCATGAATGGTGGCCTTGATGGCTAGCTTTACATATTCCACAAATTTCCAGGTCGGCGGTCCTTCACCAGATGGTCAGTCTGGAATACCGGAGCGTCCAAGGAAATCTAAAGACCTCTGAAGGACATCCAGTTGTCACTGCTCGGTTCTAAACTTTTTAAGTTTCGTCTTTCATAAACTACAACTCCCAGAATGCAACGACGGAGGCCAAAGCTGATTGGTGGTTCAATTTGGCTGTTCGCTTTGTGGAAACTCACTGGAGCCAATTTAAATGAAGGGTGCGCCCCAGAAACCAATCCTGGAGAATTAGGGCGGATCCTCCGTGGCTTCCGGCTCCGGCTCCTTCCCTGGCCGACCGAGGCGACACTGCCCGACGGAGCGGCGGGAGCGAGGTGGGTCAGGGTTCGATCAGAGGTCGTGGGGGGAGGCGGACACAGCTTTGCGGAGAGTTCGGCGCATAGCCCTTGCCTTGTCACCGAGAAGGTGGAGGCTGTTGCTTTGCTTCCCAGACCCAGTGGGCAGCAAATGGAGCCCTGTGCCCCTCCACTCCGACCCCTGTTCCCCTCTTAGGCCCTCGAGGCTGAACTGCTATTCCCGGCCTCTACCCTCGGGCCTTTTTTTCTGTGAGCTTCTGAGTACACCACCCCTTGCCCACAAAGCCACTGACCGGAGCTTTGGACTCCGCCTTTCTGCGCCCACCCCTCCTTCCCAAGTCCTCCGGCATCTGTGGACCCCCTCCTGGCCTCTAGAACGCTCGTACTTGTGGACGCCGCCATTGGCTTTACCCTGCCCCGAATTTACAGCCCAGCTTCTTATTACTTGGTCCCCTGACACCTCTGTTTGCAGACTCCGACTTCGTTGATCCTCGCCATCTCTGAACCAGCATCTAACTCCTTTGTACAATTCCTGTCCACAAACACCTCACGTCTGGCCTCATCTTCCATCACCCTCAGTCCTTGATGTGGCCCCAGAGACCCTGAACCTTGGCCTCTCTGATCACTTCTAGCTTGGCCCCTTGGAGTCTCATTTCCTTCCACGTAATCCAGATCCCCTTCAGAACCTGTGATCTGCAGTCCCATCTTCTTGGCTCTTCTGAGCCCTGGCCCCTTCTTTTAGAGACAGAGGCTGGGTTTTCATTTATTCAGTTAATTCGACAAATATTTATTAATCATCTATGATACCTGGGGAGTTCTGGTGTGGCCTTGTAGGATAAGCATTGGTCTGCTAGCTGCATAGTTGGCAGTTCAAACCTGCGAGCTGCTCCTCGGAAACCCTATACGGGGCTGCTATGAGTCAGAACCGACTCGACCGCACTTAACAACAACAACATAGATGCCTGAAGTTCCTGGTTGGTGGTTAAGGGGTTGGATCTTTGAATCCACTCTTCCCCCATGATGAGCCTAAGAAGAAAGGCCTGGCCATCTACTTCAGAAAAATCAGCTGTTGAAAACCCTATGGAGTACACTTACACTTTGACACACATGAGAGTTGCTTTAGTGGCAACTGGTGTAATACATGCCTGCCATTGCTCTAAAAGTTTGAGTTACATTGGTAAATAAAACAATGTTCCTCACCCTCACAGAGCATGTATTTTAACAGGAGGAGGCAGACAACAAATAATAAACATAATAGATAAATAGAATGTTAGAAGGTATGGCTGGAGGACTCAAAGTATGGGAGGGTGTTGTAATTTTTAAAAAGGATGGACAGCAAATGGTGCCTTAGCATCAAGGAATAAGTTATTTACATCTTTTTAAATGAAGCAAGCCTGTAATATTTCACTACTTACCTAAAACCTTTAAGAAGTACTCTGCAACTAGGGTTGATAAACTCAGCCCACTTTCTTTTTTTTTTTTAAATAAAGTTTTATTGGAACACAGCCATGCTCATTTGTTTATGTGTTGTCCGTGGCTGCTTTCATGCTACAACCAGTAGTTGAATAGTTGAGGTAACTGAGTAGTTATGACAGAAATGGCTTGCTACCTGGTCCTTTACCAAAAAAGTTGGATGATCTCTCCTCAAAGATCCAAGGTTCTATTGCCTGTTTGTATTTCACATTTCAGAAGATTATGTACAGCCTTGTACTATTTTTAAATTTAAAACATTTTTTCATTAACGAGTGTATAAAGGCTCTGTTCCATTCTTGTATACTTCACAGAGCTAGGACATGGTATATTCAACAATTGTAACGCAGCTGTCATTGGCTGAGTGGCTAGTATGTGCCACATGATACATTCAACATATGGTAGGCATTTTCTTAATACAAAGTCCTGCTGTGTTGGGAGGTATCACAATTTTAGTTATGAGGGAATTGAGGCTCAGAGTAATTAAATAACTTACCAAGAGTTACAAAGACAGTATGTGTCACTGTTGGGATTCAAGCCTACATCAGTCTTCCTCAGTGCTCTTTCCATTACTTTGTGTTGCTGTTTTTTTTAAAAAAAATTGCTGACTTGAAGGAATTATCAGTCTTTCATTTTCTGTTGTCTATGTTCTATCATACTTTGTGTTCCCTTCCCACATCTCTTTGTTCGTGTCACTCTGGACAGTGTCTCCTCCTGCCCATTCTGCCTTTTGAAATGCTAGTTTTCTTCAAGGCCCAGAGGAAATGCCCACCCCACTCTCCCTTCATCAGAACCAGTCCTTGGCTATAGAAAGCAAAAGAAATCTGTGCCACTCTTTTACTAATATGTGGTGCAGTGAGTGCATGCAGGTATGTATATGTGGGAGTGGAGAGTGTATTGTGTCTTTGTGTGTATGTAGTATGTGAATGTATGGCTGTATGTGGTATGAAAGTGTTGGTGTGTGAGACTGCTGGAAGAATGTGGCTGGCTGTGTGGTGCATGAATGGGAGGGCTGTGTATGGTATTGCGCGTGGCTGTGTATGGGTTGTCTATGTCTGCTCACTGTATGTGTGGTGTGTGATGTGTGTATGTGTGATGTGAGAATGTGGAGATGTGTGTGTGTGTGACTCTGTGTGTATGTGTGTATGACTATGTTTGGTGTTTGAGAGTATGTGGGAGGTAAGCATTGACCAATCAGAGCAGACATCAGCCCAGGCCCTGGAACAGGTTTTGCCCCATCCCAGCTGTGCCAGATGTTACTTTTCGTGGGGCAGTCGTAGAAGGGGTGTGGTGGTAGTATACAGGAGGATTCAGAGCAAAGCCTGTAAACAACAAGGAGAGCCTTGAGTGTTTATTAAGAGGGCCCGTGATAGTCATTTGAAAACAGGCATATAAATGGATATGTCTACGTAGAATTTTCCAAAAAAGATTAAACATTAGTTTCAGTTCATCTGCAGTTAGGCAGAGAAGTTGAACAAGTAGTCCCCAATTTACAACATATTTGAGTTCATGACAAACCGCACATACTTTGTGCGTGTGTGTGCTTTTCTTTCTTTTTAATATCTTATTATCGTGTTGTAGCATGTAATCGGCTAATGTTATCATTCTCAGATGTTTACTTGCAGTGTTCAAATACCAGATTTATAGAGATACTGATAATGAAAGCTTTTTTAAAAAACAGGTTTTCAACTTAGGGTGCAGTTTTAGAAATGAAACCCTGTCATAAGCTCCTTGATTTGCACATAAATTAGGATCTAGAGTTGGATTATTGTTGATTAGTGGTTTCAAGGAAAGTGTAGAGGGCCAGTGAAAAAAGAGGAAGCCCCTCAAGGAGCTAGATGGACCCCATGGCAGCAACAATGGACTTAAACATGCAACATTTCTGAGAACGGTGCAGAAGCCGACAGTGCTTCTTCTTGTTGTATGTAGGGTGTTGATGAGTCAGACTTGACTCCGTGGCACCTAACAATAACAACATTAAGGAAAGTGACATTATTCAAACTGTACACATATCTCTTGGAGGTGGACACAGTGCCTTTTGTTACTGTTTTGCTCTGGTGGGTAACTGTGAAGTACCTGTGAAAGTTTGTTACTTGAAAGTTTGTAAGTAAAGGCATTTCAATTAGTTGATTTTTTTCTTTTTCCCTTGATGATGGTTCCATCCTCTTCAGCCAGAATAAGCAATTCCCTGTGGTCTAGCCTGACACAAAGAATAAAGGTGTTGGCCGTTTGTGTTCATTCTCAGGGTTCAGAGATGGGCAGTGAAAAGGAGCAGTCTCCAGAGCAGCACCTGCCTGAGGAAGGGGACCTGGGTAAACCTTGGAGAGTGGATGACTCCGATGGGGAGAAAAAGCACAAGCAGGAGAAGCTGTCAGAGAGGCCAGAAGGAACCCACCCAAGAAAGCCATGGCGGAATGTCACTCCAGCTGAAGAGTCAGGGGACCCCACTGCACCTCCAAGGCCTGAGGTGGACGAGAAGCCCTTTATATGTGCCCAGTGTGGCAAAACTTTCAATAATACCTCGAATCTGAGAACACACCAGCGAATCCACACTGGCGAGAAGCCTTACAAATGTTCTGAATGTGGCAAGAGCTTCTCCAGAAGCTCCAACCGTATCCGGCACGAGCGGATCCACCTAGAAGAGAAGCACTACAAATGTCCCAAGTGTCAGGAAAGCTTCCGGCGGCGCTCAGATCTCACGACGCACCAGCAAGATCACTTAGGCAAGCGGCCATACCGCTGTGACATCTGTGGCAAGAGTTTCAGCCAGAGTGCCACGCTAGCTGTGCATCACCGGACTCACCTCGAGCCAGCGCCCTACATCTGCTGTGAGTGTGGGAAGAGCTTCAGCAACAGTTCCAGCTTTGGTGTGCACCACCGCACCCACACGGGCGAGAGGCCTTATGAGTGCACCGAGTGTGGGCGGACTTTCAGTGATATCTCTAACTTTGGGGCACATCAGAGGACCCACAGAGGGGAGAAGCCCTATAGGTGCACCCTGTGTGGGAAACACTTCTCACGGAGCTCAAATCTCATCCGACACCAAAAAACTCACATGGGAGAGCAGATTGTAAAGGATTCCAGCTGAAGGAGAGACCCAGTTAGAGAGTGAGAGACCCCAACCTAGTGTAGGAAGATCTCTAGGATCTGCTGCTGCTCCCCTTTACCTGAAGCCCTACATGCCACTTTGGAGAGTAGTTTTCTGTTGCTTCTGAAGCCAGAATCTCCAGGAAGTCCTGAAAAGGGACTCTAAGTAAAAATCCGTGTCTCTTTCCAGGACAGTTTTTGCCTTAGAATGTCAAAAGTTGGACCCGGTCTTGGCCTGACCTCTTTGGGGTGAAAAAGAAATAGGACAGGTTCAGAATATGCTCCTGTCATTAGGGTAGCAGCCCCCTGGCCTCTGAGGTGGCTGTCACTATCTAAAGGTCCTCCAAATTCCATGAGAACTGTGTGGGATCAGGGCATACCACAGTGGCTGCTAGTTCCCACCAGCTGGGCCCTCAACTTTGCTTCCAGATCTCTGGGCTGGGACGAAGAGCCTTCCCATCGGAAGGGGTCTCCGTGACCTGGAGAAGAAATTTGAAATCATGCCTTAGAAATTAAAGGGAAGACCTCAGGGAGCTAGGAACCAGGGACTTTCACGCTCCCATGTGTTTGTTATGTGTCCCTTTCCCTCCCAATGTGCACCTGTTTCCTCTGAGATTAGCAGTAAAATCCTTCAATGAAAAGGACTCGTGTACTTATTTGGGGGGCATCAAAGAAATTGGGAGTTGGGGAGCTTGTTCCACAGCAGCCACTCAGGAGAGAGTCAAACTCTTAAGAAAGAGAATGGGGTGGCTGCTCTGAAAAGCAAAGGAAAGCAGGTTGAGTCTCTGGGGCCTTTGAAAAGGATGAGAGAAAGGGAAGGAACTTTAACATTCATCATGTGACTTAAATTCTACTATTTGCATCTATAATCGCCTTTAGTTTTCCCATCTACCTTCAAGAGACTAAGGTGAGGAAGCAAAAATGAGGAAAGTTGAAATCATGTGCTGTAAAATTACATAGCAGGTAAGTAGTGGAGCCAGAATTCAAAGTTGGGCTTCTCTGATGCTGAACTGATGCTGTTTAAATACTACATTCACCTTGCTGGCTTCTGAAGGATGAGCCACATGGGCCACTTGCCTGGAACCGGGTAGTTATCTGGAGATAGGAGTTAGGTGACCTCCTCATGAGACTCTGAGCCATTAGGTCCGTAGAAAGTTTGTGCCACACATGTAAAGCATTTCAGCTTTGGATGATTAATTTATTACTCTGTACAAATGGTAGTTCCAAGAGGAGGGTGTAGGGTGGAGAAGCTGAGAGAGATCTTAAGACCCATAATGAAAGCCTCTGCCCTTAGTAGCAATAATTCAGTCTTCAAGACCAGGATAACTTGACAGGAATTGTGATGCCTTTCTGGTATGGCATCATGTGCCAAATTTCAATATGCTTTCCAGTGGAAATCTAGTGTTCTTCTAGCTTTCCTCCAGCAAATACAAAAGACAGGATTCCCTGGCCAATTTTATTTTGCCCTTTCTGAGCAAGTTTGTAGGTTTTTTGTGTTGATCCAGGCTTTTGAGTCCTGACTAGTCCATTTATTCACTCACCTAATTTCCTTAAAAAAATGTTTTAAGTTTTGCTTTTTTCTTTTTTTCCTCCCTCATAATATTGACACAAACACAAGGCCCCTGTATTCTCTGAGTGCAGAAGACTGACATATAAACTAATAGTTATAGAGTAGTTGTCATTACAGTTGTACCCAGAGTGCTTTGCTATAAAAGATGAACAGAGGTCCTGTAAATGAATGTGACATGGTCCTTCCTGCAAGGAGTTCATAGAGGAAAAACTCCCTTATAAACAGGGTGCTGGAGGAAAAGGGAAAACGAAATGATACTTGAATTTGTTCATGAAGAATAAGTTGTGTACCAAGTGAAGAGAAAGGGAAAATTACTCCCATGGAATGTTTTAGAGAACAGTGAAACTTTAGATGTAGAGTGTCCTGTGTGGGGAGCAGGTGAGGCTAGCAAGGTAGATAGGCAGTAACTAGAGTGTTGGGTGCCAGGCTAAGGGAATTGGAGTGTCAATTTAAAGCAGAGCAGTGACATGATCCTATGACATTAACCTTTCAAAAAGAACACTCTAGCTATAGTGGAGATGAACTAAAAGGGCCCAAATAAATTGAGAAAATGCTGTATGTGTAAGTCAAATAGCAGTTGGGGCCTGTCTGACCCAGAGAACCATATATGATTGCTTCAGAGTCTTGCTGTCTTAGGCTGGGCTTTCTAGAGAAGTGTGTGTGTGTGTGTGTGTGTGTGTGCACGCGCGTGCATGTGTGTGTGCAGTTTGGAGGCTGACAAGTCCCAAGTCTGGGTTAAGCATCAGACTCATGTGCTTGTAGGGGCTGAGCAGTCCACAAAAGGCAGGTCAGATGACAGTCTGTTGACTCACAGAAACTGAAGAATCCCAGAATCAGTAAATCAGACTACAGACAGCCTAAGAGGTCAGGTGATAAGCTGGATGCAGAATCCAGAGCAAGGAATAACTGCCAGAGCATATATATATTAGAAGTAGGTCATAACCCTTCATATCTTTATATCAGAATAAAGGCGTGACTTGAGTAAGAATGGAACTTCAGTCCTGCCTAGATCTGCCTCGTTAACATAAAGGTTAGGGTTTACAACACATAAAATGGAGAATAATTACGTTAAATCCTATAATGGAGGGCAAGCACAAAATACTGGGAATCAGCCTAGCCAAGTTGACACACTCACCACAGCCCACCCTATGTCAACTTGGCACATGTATTATTAAGTGCTTCTGACTCATAGCAACCCTGTATAGGGTTTCCAAGGAGTGACTGGTGAGTTTGAACTACTGACCTTGTGGTTCAAACCAACCTCATGGTTCAATGCTTTATCCCACAGTGCCATACCAGTACTTAAACCATACATAATCACTAAATAGAGATAATTATAAAGTCACACTTGTTCCTAACATGATACAACTAGTATATATACAATTCAAAATGCACTCGACCCATTTGTTAAGTGCCTTTGAGTTGGTTACAACTCAGTGACCGACCCTGTATAGAGTTTATGAGGAGTTGGTTTGAACCACCAACTTTGTGGTTAGCAGCCCAGTGCTTCTGGATCAGGACTTCAGAACCATTTACCTCATATTTTATAAGTAAATGAAAATATTTGATACACAAGGATAAAGGTTGCTTCTAGAGTCCCAGTTTATACATGCACAGGTTTATTCAAAACAAAAGATGTTAAACAAGTCTCTGCACTCAGCAGATGGCTGCAGACAAGTTTTCTCAGTAACACAGTTGTCTAAGTCTCCTTAAGTGCCTTAAAAAAAATGTCCAATCAAAATAGTGGCTTCCAAAGGGATCTGCTGGGCCAATTCAGTTCAAGCCAGAGACGTTTAACTCGGGTTATGGCGAGTGTTTTGAAACTCCAAAGAGGTCATCTTGTTAGATTTTCTTGAAGAAAACAGGATGATCAGGGTTCTTACGAAGTTTTTTAAAAATAGAAAATTGCTTTGGTGGGAAGCAGGCCAGGCAAGTTACACTGAGGAATCTTATTTCTGTCAACAATGCACCTCATTCTTCAAGGGTAGCAAGAGCTGTTTTACAAGAATTTTGTTGAGAAACCTTACCCCACCTACCCTATGGCTGTGACCTTGTCCCTTCAGACTTATTTATTTATTTTTTTTTGAAAAGGAGCATAATTTGAATTCCTTAAGGATGCCAAAACTGCCATTTTGATGTGTAATTGAAGAGCTCAGAATTCTTTGGTCAAGGGTTACAGAGATGCCTTCAGAAGTGTATAGACAAGGCTATTTGAGAAATAACAGCTTCACGATTCGATTTTTAGTTTAATAAAGGTTTCTATGATTTTGAAGTAATACTTTTTGACTTATCCGTGTGTGTGTGTGTGTACACATACATATATAATAAAACAAGGATGAAATACTCATAACAATAATTTCTGCAACTCATCATGTGGTCATAACTGGTATTTAGAAGTACCCTCTTTCACCACCCATTCTGTATTCCCTTTACCCTCAGTAGGCACCTCGGCTGGGTATGGTTCTTTGCATAGTGGGACAACCCAAACTTTCATTGCTGACGGGTCTGGACTATTAGTAGTCATGTCAGAATTGGGCCACCGTAGTTTTCAGTTGACTTTAATTATGGGACATAGTATTACCAAGAGGATCTCCTATATTCCACACATACTCTTCTTTACCTCCACTGTGTAACATCAATTCAATTTCTCTTTGGTAATCCGTGGTAATCCTACCAGCCAATATGGTAACTCCCTTTTTTGCTTGTTCCAGATGCATGAGGAGCTCAAAATGACCAAGTGGCATTTTTAAACTTCCAGTTCAATAGAATCAGTGTTATATTTCCTGGTGGGAGCATTCCTGTATTTGGAAATAAGACCTCTAGATCTGTAGAACATAGGCTTACAAGGACAGGAACCAGAATTTTTGTGAGTGGATCACTAGGGGTAATAGTTAATGATACCATTCCCATTTTCATCCTTTGATTCTTGGACCCATGAGTCCTGGCTATGGGAGAAAAAGCACTATATATTGGATGCTGGTTTAGAGCATAGACATCCTCCTGGAAAACATTGCCCCAGCTCTGTGAGGTATTACCACCTAGCTGGCGCTGTAATTTTGTCTATAAGGTCATTCCATTGTCTGCAAAGCTAGCTACTTCAGGATGATGGGGGAACATGGTAAAACCAGTGAATTCCTTGAGCATATAGGCCTATTGCTGTGAAGTGAGTCCCTTTGAGCTGAGGTAATACTGTGTGTGATACCATGAACGTGGTCTGTAACTCCGCAAATGGTAGTTTTGGCAGAAGCATTGTGTGGGGGAAGGCAAATCTGTATCTAAAGTAAGAGTCTATCCTATTAAGAATAAAATGCTACCGTTTCTATGATAGAAATGTTCAGTGTAATCAATTTGCCACCAGATTGCCAGCTGATCACCCCTAGGAATAGTGCTACATCAGGGACTCAGTGTTGGTATATGCTCCTGGTATACTG